CTTGCCCATTAAAGCCTTGAAAAAGAAAAATGAGAACTGTAGCAAGAGTAAGGGAACAATAAATTCCTTTTCAAACTTAGCCAAAGAATAATCAATATATTTCATCTCTTTGGTGGGCAAACATGTAGAGTCCAAACTAAGATTATAGCAAAGAACCATTTCCAAGCATATCTCTAATGATCCTCCTATAATAGGGTTGGATCCTAGCCCTCATCTAATCTTTCACCTGGGACAATTCCATGGTGCTACAAAGTCCCAAAATGTACTGGACAATGTATCATGCTTGGGCAGGAACATACTCAGCACTTCTTAACTTCAATCAAAGTCTCATCTCCACTTGTCTGCAGAGCAGAATCTTTGAAAGTCAATAGGAATTTCTGGATGGCAATTGCTCCCCACTCTCAACTTAGGCTAATGCCAAACTCAGTACACAGGTGGGCATATCTCTAAGAAGGGAACAAACCTCTCAGAGGTCATCCGGTCTTGCTTATAGCAGCTTAGGGCTATCAGGAACCCAGTGACCAGGTTCAGGAGGGAATAGAACAATCCTGGTAGCCGGAACCTTCCTCAGTACATTCAGCCTCTTCCTCAGAGTCTTCCTAATATCTTCTGTATGAAATGAGTATTTTGCATTTCATGAGCAGAAAGTTATTTTCAAAATAAAATAAAATTTCCTTGATGCAAAAAGCCAGGCTATGCAATTTTCTAATTTTTCTTTCAATACATCTCCTTCTTCCCTAAAATCAGTTTGGTCAAAAGGTTAAAAAACCAGGCTAAAAACTAGTAAGTTTACAGACATTTCTAAAATTTTGTTTTCACTTTGTCATTATTGGCTACTCAGTGTATTAATCTACTCAGTGTAGATTAATGAGAAATAAATGAATTTCATCCACTGTAGAATCAGCCTGCAGCACAACAAAATTGACAAAAGTGAAGGGAATCCAAAGGCATTCTGAATGCACTGTATATCCTTCATTTTTTGTAACTAATAAAGGCAACAGACAAACCCAATATTCCTTCCTTCTGCTCTTGTTTTTCCTACAAGAATAACCCTGGGAAATGGGTTGAGCTGAGAGAGATTGGGCAAAAAATCACTCAGCCAGCATTCCTGCCTACGGCAGAATTAGTACTCAGAGTCACCCAGTTTCTAGCCTGGTATCTTAACAATTTGACCAAACTCAATTTATAGAAGAAGGAAATTTATTCAAATAAAAATTGGAAATCTGCATAGCCTCCCTTATTGCAAAAAAGAAATTGTTTTTTAAAAAAACATTTTTGGCTCATAAAATATAAAATATTGATTTCAAAAACTGTAGAATCATGCTTCAGCATAACAAAATTGAAAAAAGGGAAGAGGCTCTGAATACTTTATGAATGCACTATAAATAAATGATTTTTTCCCCCCAGAAATAACATTTAAGCTCCATCTCTGCATTCCTGAGCACAGAAAGGGTTTCTTACCCAGAGAGAGGAGATTCCTGGAATTCTCCAGCATGACTTCTCTGTAGAGCTCCTGTTGGTTGGCCTCCAGTTGAGACCACTCCTCCTTGGAGAAATACACGGCCACTTCCTCAAAAGAAACAATATCCTGAAAAATGACACAAGGTTCCTTATTAACAGATAATCCCAAGAATAATGGGATAATTTTCCTCCACCAATTGTAGGAAAGAGATCACATGAACAAAATGGGAATCTTCTGCAGAATTCAGAATAGGATTTCACCGCTTTTGGCTGATGGCACAAATAAATCATGTTTGATCAAGCTGGAAGTGTTTGGAATGCCTTACGGTGTAACCAACTAAAATATTCCATGTCAAGTGGTCTGATTTGAGAAAAGTGCCACGCTCAACCATCACGGATTTCGATGAAATATTGTGTGAACATGCACATATGTCCCCAATGAATGTTGGTAAAGTGTTACATTTGCTGATGCAACACTTGCAGAGATCTAGTCATTTGTTGGACCCCCGTACCGCCGCCTTCTACAGTGTGACTCTGAGGTTTCAGCAACTTTGACACATAATATCTCCGGCAATATTTTGTTGAGAGAAACAAAACTTGGCCATCTTGTACAACTTTTTATGTTCTATTAAACAAAGTAACAAAAACATTATCATGAGCGATCTCCATCTAGATAATTTGGAGCAAAGTTAGCCGAAAATATAGCAATGTCCTCAACTTTGTCCCTATTTTTAGGGGTTTATATGTCAGCGATGAAAAATCAACACTACTTTTGTACTTTTGTAGTGAGGTTGAAACATGCTCTTTCTAATGAGAATGATTTAACAGTTTCCAGAAGATCTTTTTTGTAAAAGCAGGCTGAAAATACCGTATTACACTCAATTTGTAAACTATTGGAAAGCAGTAAAAGAATGAAATTTTATACTCAAAATCTTGTGTTGCTTAGTTATTATGCGCAAAGTTTCACATGTATCATACCTTTCTTTCCAGAGATATAAAAAGCCAAATTTTAACCTTTTTTTGAACCGCAATATTTTCAGCCAACTTTGCTCCAAATTGTCTAGATGGAGATCACTCATGATAATGTTTTTATTATTTTCTTTAATAGAGCACAAATAGTTGTACAAGATGGCCAAGTTTTGTTTCTCTCAACAAAATATTGCCGGAGATACTGTCTCAAAGTTGCTGAAACCTCAGAGTCGCACTATAGAAGGCTGCGGCATGGGGTCTAACAAATGACTATATCTCTGTAAGTATTGCATCGGCACATGTAACACTTTATCAATGTTCATTGGGGACACGTGTGCATGTACATACAAAATTTCATCAAAATCTGTGATGGTCAAGCAGGGACCCCCAGACCACTGGACATTGGAATGGCCCACTTGGGTCTTAAATTCACTACTTGTGACTCCCATTCTTCTAAGAACGGGAAGAACAAAATAGTGGCAAAACCCACCTGACATGATTTCCAATGGCTTACTTTATCAACTGAGGGATCAACGTATGCCAACTCCACCCCTTCATGAAGGAGTTAGAAGAGGTTGTAATAGAACTCTATATCTTTATGGAGATTCTCAATCACCAGGTCACGGTTGTCCCTAAGATGCTTTAAATCATAATGAAAGTTAGAATATCTTGTATAAAATGATGGAAAAATCGTTAAATGAATGTTTAATAATTGATATTATATAAGCACAAGCTAGACTGATAAGGTGAGAATTTATATAACATGTGAGTAATGGTAAAGGATAGCACAAAAGATTGTAACCAACTGACACACTGTATGTATATAATTGAAAGAGGGTTTTATGTTTTTATGCTTTGTTCGTATGTTTGTTGTAAAAAATAAAAACTTTGTTTAAAAAAAAAAGGATAAAATAGAATTTTTTTTTGTAATGGTATTCGAGATTAAGAAAGAGAGACAGAGAAAGTGCCCCAATTCTGACAACAGTCTGGCCAATGAAATCTGATGTAGAAGCAGGACGGGTGGAGAAAGCGACTCACAGAGGATCCCCTCAGAAAGGAGAATATTCAGTGACCTGGTATTGAATTTGTATTGCTTAGAAAAAACAATTTTATACATTGAACTCTAGAACAAAATGGAATCCATCCAATATTTATGGATCTTTTCCGATGTTTCTCCTCCTTACCTGAAGTAACGGTCCAGATAATCCTTCAGCTCTATCAGAAAGAGGTGATTCTAAAAAGTCCAAGGACAGCTTTCTACTCTCTATGAGAAAGGGAAAAATAGCAGAATCAGATTTGTTAAAAAGAGACAATCCAACAATGTGGAGCAAAAGAATCAGCTAAATTGTCATGCCCCTGGTGGAGACTGACTCTGAGGGAGAGGAGGAACAGCCGACAGGAAGTGGCAGTGTGGCTCCGGAGGTTGTGGAGGAGGCTGGGGAAGGGCAGAGGCCAGCTGAGAAGTCAGAGGAGGACCCAGGCCCATCCCCTATCCATCCTAGGGCATGCAGGGAGGAGAGGATAAGGGAGAGACGTGGTCTCCTTGAGAGAAGGGCCTTGATCCTCTTCATGGGCTGCATATGTGACAACTGAATAAGAGTTTGGACCTGCGTACTGGCAAACACTGGAAACGAAGTGTGTAAATATCTCTAGTTTATAGTTCCTCTCTGAGTTTGGTGTCCTTCCCAGTCTGTGTTATCTGTGGATATCCTGCAGCTCTTATCTTGCCTGGTTTGTGTTGCTTTTTTCCTTCTTCATGTAACTGTGTGGCAGTTTTTTTGTCTTCCGTCAAAGATATTTGGAGCTTGGAAGCAAAGTGAAGGAATAAAAGGGGCTTCACCTGTTTTCTGTGACTGTGTTTGTTTTGTATCCCACCCTGGGTCATCACATTAATGTTGAAATCTCACATCACACAGAAAGAGCTTTTCTTACCTTGCATAGCGTCTTGACTTTGATCATCCTGGAAGTTCTCCCTGAAGAGCAGCTCTTGAGAAGATCTGAATGAATCTTTCCTCCCCTTGGGATATTCAGTCACAGCTTCCACGCATTTCTGGACATGGTGTGATACGAGAAACAAAGGAAGAAAAGACACAGAAACGAATTATCATACTGCATCTTTGAACTAGCAGTCCCCAATGTCCATTACTGAAACTCAAAACAGAATGGAAGAATCGCCCCAAATATATCCTCTGGAAGAATAGAACAAATTCTCTTAGAAGTTAATAATCTCAGAAAATTCTGCCAGAAAGGAATTGACAAATTCAGAGAGATCCTCTTAAAAGCTCTCATGATTTACATTCTCCCACCTGCAACTCTTCTTGCATGTTTTCCTCCTCCTGAGTCAGCAAGAAGCCTTCAGCCAGGGACACCGCCTGGGAACTGGTCTCTGCTCCACACTCCCGCACCCATTTTGCCATCTCTGGGGGAAGCACAGCCAGCAATTGTTCCAGGAGCACCAGGTCCAGCATCTGAGCCTTGGTGTGTTTTTCTGGTTGCAGCCACTGACGACAAAGATAGTGAAGCTGAGTGCAAACATCTCGGGGGCGGCTCCCCTCCTGGAACTGCACTTTTCTGAAGTGACAGCACTGGACGTCTGAACTATTGAATGCCTTTTTGTGGCTCTTCCACCTAGGACTTGCCCCATTCCTCCTACAGCTCCAAGGCTGAGCAGCTGGAGGGCCTTTTCTAATTTCTGCATCTACTGGGTGTTGTTGTTTCTTCATCTTCTCTCTGGTCTCTAATACAGCTCCATAATGGACAGATGTATCTCCACAGGTCTTTCTGCTCACAAGAGATCTGGCCAAATTTTCCAAGGCCATTCTGCTCTCTTCCCAGACAAGATACTTAAGAATCCAGAAGAACCAGAAAATATTTCCAACTTACACACCTGAAATTGAAAACAAGTAAGTTAGGGTGTTTACTAGTGTGATTAATAACTACTGAGGGAAGGAAGGGGGTAGGAAAAATATGAAAAAGAAAACTGGATGAACCTATTATATGGGAGGGCGGAGCTGGCATCGTGACAATATGGCATGCGATCTTGGAGATCTGAGATCGCTGCCGATATCTTTGCTCCTGGACAGTCCAAACGGATCTATACCATCCTGAAGAGACGGTGAATGTAAAGAGCGCAGCCTGTTGATCCCAGGGATACCACAAAGTCCCTGGTAGATCCAGGAGAAGCTTTTTTTTTTTGCCAGAGGCAAAGAGGCAGCCATTAAAGCTGCTGAAGTTGGGACAGCTCCAAAACAAAAGAGAACGGAAAGAGAAAGTGTGCCGGTTGGTGAGAATTTTTTTAAGATTTGAAAGGACACCCTAAGGAAAAGGAAAAGAAAGAATCTGTAAAATTTTAGACAGAAGTGATTAAGCAGCGATTTTAAACAGGAAGTCAAAGTGGTGTTTGTTTATTTTTGCTGGACTTTTTATATATGATTTTATATTTTGAAGTTGGACTGGCTTTCTTTTTTTTTTTTTGATCTATTCTTTCTCTCCTTTTTGACTTTATAATATTTTAGGCTAGAGACTCCCCTCTAGTCATCTTTTTTAATATCCTTTTCCCTTTTTAATTAATTTTTATTATATCTTGTTTGGAAAAGGAGGGGGAAAGTGAAAGCAGAAGAAACTTTGTAACACTGCCAACTAGAGGCTTGGAAATATTCTATCTCTCTTTTTTTTTCTTGACCAGACAAAGCTGGGAAAGATCTGAGACTTCTTTTCATGGACTTTGCCTGTTTGATAAGATAGAGGGAAAAGCATGGGAGACTATTATTACAGGTGCTCTTCTGGGTTTCTATCAGTAGCTGGAGTCTGGTGTTGAAGTTTACAGAAAAGAAGACAATAAGACTCTGGAGAAGAGAGTTATAAATTTTAACAAAATTTTTGGATAAAAAATGTTTGGATAATCAAACAAGGTGCAGTGTGCTCTTTTTACTTTTTTTAAGCTGGGCTATTTCTTACATTAACAACCCCACTCCTTACTAGCTTGCTTTTTGTAATAGCTATTTGGATCTTTGGCCTTTTGGAACTTCTTTTTGTCTTTCTTTTTGTTTTTGAAGTCTTAATTTTTACGTCTGCATTTTGTTTTAAAGGAAAAGTTTTAGTATTAATGTTTTCCTTTTTTTTAAGGGAGTAGTCTCCTTTCTTTTTTTTTTCTCTCTCTCCCCCCCACCGTGTATTTTTTTTTCTATTTATTTTCAAAATTGGGTTTTTTGTGTGTGTGTGGCTTTCTTTTTTTCTGTACATTTTTTTATACCCGAGACTTTTTAATTGGATTAAGGTGTTGAAGAACCTGAAGAACTTCTTTTTCTTTTTTAGTTTTTTTATTTTCTACTTTTCCACTTCTTCCAGGACTTAACAATTTTTTCCTTTTTCTGTTTATGGTCTTTTCTTCCATTTTTGAGTTTTTACTGCTATCTAACCAATCGATTGGATTGGTATACAAGAACCTGAAGAAAATTTTTATTACTATTATTATTTGGCTTCTTTTTTCCCACTATTTTTACTTGGAATTACAATTGGTTATTTTACAAGTGGATTAAGGTCTAGAAAAACCTGAAGATCTTAATTGTCTGAAATGAGTAGGAAACTAACAGCCCCTGGTTCCTCAACTTCTACTTCTTCCTCTTCACCATTGGGAGGACAACGCTCAATACAGACAATGTTACAGCAAGAAAAAGAACAGGAAATGGTGATGCTGCAGATGATTATGCAAGGAATTCAAAATATACAAATAAGAACAGAGAATATTGAAAAGAGAATAGAGAACACTGAACAAAGAACAGGAAAAACTGATGAAAAGGTGGAGAACATTCAACAAATGATGATGAAGTATGATGAGAGATTCCAAAAAATTGAAGAAGATAAACAAAGAGATAAGAAGATTGGAGATATTGATAGCAGATTAACTGTGGTTGAACAAGATAAAAGTGGGGTGCTGAGATGGGAGATGGACAGATCAGAATTTTATCTCAGATTCCAAAACATAGAGGAAGAAAAGGGACAAAACCTAGCTGAGATAATGACAGAAATTTTGGCTGAAGCTCTGGAAATAACCAAAGAGAAGATGATGATGGAATAGACAAGGTTTATCGCGTTTTCACAAGATATGCAATGAGAAATAGCTTACCAAGAGAAGTTCACATCAGATTTACAAAGAAAGCCATTAAAGTGCAAATATTGCAAGTGGCAAGAGAGAAACCATTGAAATATAAAGATAAGGAGATTGTGGTCCTGAAACAAGTACCCAGGAGAGTAAGAGAGATGAGAAGAGAATACCGATTCCTGACTAAAATTCTACTTAAAAAAGAGGTGAATTATAGATGGCTGATTCCAGAAGGTTTAATGTTCACATGGCAAGAACAGAGACATAGAATTGATTCAATTGAGAAAGCTGAATTATTTTATACAGAATATTTTGGAGGGAAAGAGGAGGAGACAGAAAAAGAAATGTCACTAATTGAATTCCAAGAGGACTGCCAAATAGCGACTGAAAAAGAAGAAGGTGCAGTAGGCGGAAAGGTGGAAGTTAAAGAGCAACGTGAACTAAGATCTATGAGAGCTGCTAAGCCGACCTATAAAATATAATCATGGAAGAGAAAAAACTGATTACAATTAACATAAACGGACTTAACTCAGCTGTTAAAAGAAGGAAAACTTTCCATAAATTAAAGAAATTAAAATTTGATATAATCTGCCTACAAGAAGTACATATTAAAAAGCAACATGAACAACTGTTGATACAGCCAAAATTAGGGAAAACATTTACTTCTTTGACACAATGCAAGAAAAGAGGAGTGGTGTTATACATTAAAGATATTATCCCAGCGAAATTGATCTATACCAATGACGATGGAAGATTACTAATGGTGGAAATAATGGACAATAATGTGAAAACACTCCTGATTGCAATCTATGCCCTGAATGACAATCAAGAAGAATTTTATAGAAAACTACATATGAAAATAATCGAACTGGACTATGCTAATATAGTTATGATGTGAGATTTTAATGGAATTGTAAACAATAAATTGGACTATACAGCACAGAAAACAACAAAGCAAAACAGAAAGACTCTCCCTAAATCTTTTTTCACAATGATAGATGAAATAAATTTAAAAGATACATGGACAGAAAGAAATGCTAAGACTAAACAATACACCTTCTATTCAAACAGACATTTATCATGGTCCAGAATAGATATGATATGGATGTCAACAGAATTGTTAGTTAATATCCAAGAAATAAATATTGAAACAAGTACTTGGGCAGATCACAATCTAATGACAATTAAATGGAAAGGACAAAGAAGAAGATCTAGATGGACCTTAAATAATACTATATTAAAGGAAAAAGACTTTATACAGACGATGGAGAAAGAACTGGCCTTTTTCTTTAGAGAAAATAAAAAAGAAGACACATCAATGCAGAACTTATGGGATACAATGAAGGCATATGTCAGAGGCTTGATTTAATAGACTATACAAGGAAAAGAAATATCATGAAAAGACTAGTCTCTAAGACATTAGAGGATGAGTATAATGGATTTGAAAAAGAGCTACAGAAAATGCCACAGGAAAAGGACATTAAGTTAAAAATGGATATAATTAAACATAAAATGGGATTAATGGAAAAAGAAGAATTAGCACAGAAAATTAGAGGTGCGAAACAGAACTATTTTGAAGATGCAAATAAACCAGGTAGATGGTTAGCATATAAATTGAGAAAGGAGAAAGAATCAAGGAAAATATTGCAACTAATAGATGATCAAGGCCAAGTTTGCTATGGAAGTAAAGAGAAGAAGGAAATTATACGAGACTATTATGGGAAACTATACACACAAGAGAATATTGACGAGGAAAGAGTTAAACAGTACTTAAAGAATGCTAATCTACCCCAGATACCTAAAGAGATTGAAACAATGTTAGAAAGCAATATAATGATGATGGATGATGGAGTTAACTGAAGCACTTAAGAAGCAAAACAATGGAAAGGCACCAGGCCCAGATGGACTTCCGGCTGAATTTTACAAAACATTACAAGAATCATTGAACCTTCCATTGCTAGAAGTTATGAATGAAGTTATGTTAAAGAAGAAGATACCTAAATCATGGTCAGAAGCTCATATTAACTTATCCCAAAAGAGGAGGCCGATCCATTACAAATCAAGAACTATAGACATATCTACTTACTAAACGCAGATTATAAAATTTTTGCTTCAATATTGGCAGAAACACTTAAAAAATACCTAAATAATTTTATCCACCCTGATCAAAATGGATTTCTGCCAAAGAGACAAATAAAAGACAATATGAGAGTAATCCTGGACACTTTGCAATATTACGAGGCACACCCTGAAAAACAAATGGCTTTGATATTTTTAGATGCACAGAAGGCATTTGATAATGTGAATTATCAGCTGAATTGGCGATTCATGTTATTACAGTTGGAACAGATGGGCTTTAATAGAAGCTATATATCATAAGCAAATGGCAAAGGTAATGATAGAGGGAAAACTGACAGACTCTATTGATATAAGAAAAGGAACAAGACAAGGGTGCCCACTGTCACCTTTGTTGTTTGTGTTAACCTTGGAAGTGTTAAACAGAAATATTAGAGAAGAAAAGGATATAAAAGGGATGAAAATTAAGAAGGAAGAATTTAAGTTGCAAGCATTTGCAGATGATCTGGTTTTTATTTTAGAAGACCCACTAGAAACAGCATCAAAATTGATAGAAAAGATAGGGGAGAAGGGAGGAGCCTGCGCCGTGACGATACGGTCTGCAATCGAGCTCCTCGATTGCAGCCGATATCTCCGTTACCGGTCGGTCCAAATGGACCCATGCTGTCCCGTAGGGACAGCTATCGTGAAGAGCGTACCCTGAGGACTCT